TTTATTGTATCTTTCTTTCTGCTCAGTTTGCTTTCTGTTCAGTTTGCTCTTTTCCTGGCATCTCAAGGTAGAAGTTTAGATTGATTTGAGGCCTTCCTTCTTTTCTAAGGCATTTGATAGTATCAATTTCCCCGGAGCATTGATTTAGCTGCATTCTACAAATTTCAATATATTGTATTTTCATTTTTGTTTAATTAAAAATGTCTCCTAATTTCCCTTGAGGCTTCCTCTTTGATCAATGAATTGTTTAGAAATGTGTCATTTAATGTCCAAGTGTTTGTAGATTGTTCAGTTGTTTTTTTTTTTCTGTTATTGATTTTTAGTTTCGTTATGGTCAGAGAACATAGTTTGGTTTCAGTTCTTCTAAATCTGTTAAAGTTTGTTTTGTGACCCAGGATATCTTATAAGTATTCCATGCTTGCTTAGTTACTGGGTAGTATTTTATAAATGTAAGTCAGATCCTGTTGGTGGATTGATGAAAGAGGAGTATTGATACCACCAAATATACTTGAGTTATTGTCCATTTCCTCCTTCAGTTCTATTAGTTTTTACTTTATGAATTTGAAGGCATGGTATTAGGTTTGTGTACATTAGGACCATAGAGTTTTCATTATGTAATGTCCCTCTGGGTCCTTGAATAATTCTCTTTGCGTTGTACTCTACAGTTTCTGGTATTATTTGCCATTTGAGCTTTCTTTTATTTGGTGTTCACATGGAATACATTTTTTCCTATTCTTTCATTTATTTATTTATTTTGGGGGGATATTGGAGATTGAATCTGGGGACACTGAACCACTGAGCCACATCCCTAGCCCATTTTGGCATTTTATGTAGAGACAGGGTCTCACTGAGTTGCTTAGTGCTTCACTTTTGCTTCTGCCTTGGCCTCCTGAGCCGTTGGGACTACAGACATGTGCCACTGCACCCAGCTATTCTTTTACTTTTAACCTATCTCTATCATTATATTTAAAGTGAGTTTCTTGTGGGTGGCATAAAACTATTTTTAAAATCTGTTCTTACAATCTCTGTATTTTAATTGGTCTGTTTATTCCATTTACATTTAATATGTATGAAAGTGTTTTGATTTAGACCTATTTTTCATTCTTCTTTTTCCCTTTTCAAACCCCCTTTAGATCATTTGAATTATTTTATATTCCATTTAGACTTATGTAATTGTTTTTGGAAATATCTATTTGTATAGTTTTTTTTAAAAAGATTACAAATTTTAAGTCAGTACTTTTGAGGTTACTACACACATCTACACATACAAGGAGCTTTACTACTGCTCATTTCCAGTATGTATTATATCAACATACACTGAAAACCCCACCTGATCCTGTTATAATTTTGTTTTCAACTGTCATATATAGATGTTTTAAAGAGCTAGGTATCCAGATATTTACCATTTGTTTTTCTTTCTTCCATTTCCAGAGTTCTGCATTCTCTTCTGGTATCATTTCCCTTCAGTCTGAAACACTTCCTTTATCATTTCTTTCAGAACAGTCATTGCCAATGCACCTATTTGCTTTCCCTTAATTTGAGAATGTCTTCATTTTACCTTTCTTTCTCAGGATATTTTTGGTGGATATAAAATTCTGCATGGTGATTTCTTTGAGCAGTTTAATATTTCCCCCTGCCCCTGTATTTTTTTAAAAAAATAATTTTAATTTGTTCTTTTTAGTTATAATGACAGTAGAATGTATTTTGGCACATCATACATACTAGTACATAGCCCCTATAGTTTTGATGGAAAGGTCAGCTGTCGTTTGAATCATTGTTCCTTCCCCATGTGTATGTAATACATCAGTTTCCTCAGGTGTTCAAGAGTTGTTTTTGGTCTTTCTTCAGTGTTCATCAGTGTGTGAGGGTATGTTTCTTTGAGCTTATTTTGTTTAGTGTTTAGTAAGCTCCTTGAGTCTGCATATCTTATGCCTTTTTCCAAAATCAGAAAGTTGAAAAGTATCATTCCTTCAAATATTTTTTCTGTACTGCACTCTTTCACCAATTTTTCATCTATTTTTTCAGACACTGTGGTGAATGTTGGATCTTTGGTGGTTGTCACAGAGGCTGGGCTAATTTGTTTCAAGTTTTCTTTTCCCTTTGTTTTCATATTGGATGGGTCTTGTTGATCTCTTTTCAAGTTCATCTCCATTTTTTTTAAAGCCCATCTACTCAACTTGTTATTTGGTTCTTGTATTTTTCAGTCTAAAAATTTCTGTTTGGCTCTCTTTTATGTTTCTTGACTGAGACTTTATATCTTTCTATTCATTTTGAGACTATTCATCCTGTGGCTTGGATCATGGTTTTACCTCTTGGAAATATCCTAGGCCTTTAAAAGGTTTTCCCTTTTGATATAGTCAAGTGCATTTATCTTCTTTTCACAAAAACCTGAACTTGACTTTATTATCCTTATGTTAGAATGAAGAAACCAAGGCTCAGAGGGGTAGCATGTCTAGGATTCAGTGTGTAACATGTACATTGAACTTAGTATTGTCACAAAGCCCCTCGTCTTTCTGGTTTGGCTGAGAACTGATCTTGAGTAGCGACTTTGTGAATGGGAAGGGGACAACAGACACATGACTTACAGTGTGGGCAGACACTGGGTTAGTAAACATCAGCTCTCTTTACATAATAGAAATAGTCTTAAAAAGACTGTATTCATTTATTATTACTTCAAATTTATTTTATTTTTTATTAAGGAATTTAAATTTAAGAGATAAAAAGGGTATAGAGCATACTGCCAGATGAATGCCATTGTATCAAGCCAGTAAGCATGCATTCATAGCCCTGAATATACAGCGTGTTTTTAATTATAGTCACATTCTGTGCAGTAGATCACTAGAGCTTATTACTTCCGACTGAAACTTTGTCCCTTTGATTAACATCTTTCCTTTCCCCACTTACACCCTCCTTCCCCTGCCTTGTATTTAAATAGTAACCTGCCCTATAGAATCTATGCCATGGTATTATTTAACAATGCATCTTGATAATAATGAATAAGCCAAGTGGTCTCTCACTCTTTTTTTTGTGACTTTATAGTATTACATTGAGTGGATATATTATAATTTACTTAATGATGAACTAGTTGACTTTTAATAATTTAAATTAAAATAAATTTTGTTGTTGTTGTCAATGAGACCTTTAATTTATTTATATGTGGTGCTGAGAATTGAACCCAGTGCCTCACACATGCTAGGCAAGCACTCTACCACTGAGCCACAACCCCAGCCCCATTAATAATTTAAATTAACCATGGACTTTTTGACTTTAAAAACTTTTAAAAGTGAAGTATGACATACGTATGGGAACATATACATGTGTGAACTAGTTCAGTGACTTATCAAAGAAAGATCATATACTGTAACTGTCACCAATGACAAGAAATGGACCGTTCAGTACCCAGATGTCTCCTCTGTGGCTCCTTCCAAATGCCATCCACTTTTTGTCTCTAAAGGTAACCACTACCCTGGACTGACTTTCAGTCCCTGCTTAGCCTGTGCCTCTGTCATTCTCTTTCTTGCGGTGCTAAGGAAGGGTATCTTTTTCGTAAGGCAGAGACTCAGAGGTAAAAAATGAAGCAGAGAAGGAGAATGTGGGGGACGGTGGAAGGACTCGGAGAAGATTTAGCTATTTAAGCATGCAGATATAAACATTTGAGGGAGGTGCTTTAGTGCGTATTCTGTTCTTGGAGTTAGGTTAGCCCTCCCAGAAAATCTTGCAGACCAACCAATCCAAAGAAATCAAATATTTTCTTTTGACAATGAGGTTTAGTGACAGATTACAGTCACTGGAGACACCATAGGGTAGGAGTCCCAGTCCTTGGCTGGTGGTGTGCTTTCATGGTGTGTTTCAGGACTGAGAGACTCTGGACACCAGATGTGGGCCAGTGCTTTTAGACATGATAGGTTCTCAGGATGAGTCCTTCATACGCCCCCCTTCCCCAAGCTTTTATTTTTGACAAATTTCAAAATTTTATGGTAAAGTTGTAAAATGGTACAGCACTCTAGATTCTTCACCCAGATTGAACAGTTAATAATTTTTACATTTGTGTTCTCCCTTTTTGTCCTCTTTCCCCACTCAAGGGAGAGTTAGTTACGGATATCATGACACTCCCTTTAGTCTCTTAGAACGGGTCTCTTAGAATGTTATCCTACAAGATCAGAATGCTGTAACCTGATATCAAGTTGTTATTATCATCATATAACATTTTTTGAGATTCAGTTGCATATAGTACTCATGCTTCTCTAACCTCCATCTAACACATTTCGCTTTAGATTGTCATCAAGATGTTTGAAGAGTTGAGGTCTGTTGTTTTGCAGAATGTCCTTCAACTTAAATTTGTCTGATTGACTCCTCTTCATTAGATTTGGGTTAATGGTTATAGACGGGAGCACTCTAGATAGAATTAATTGCTCTCAGTGATTTATTTCAGGAGACACGTGATGTCAGTTTGTCCCATCAATGTGATATTAGATATATTTTCTTGATTAAGCTGATACATTTCTAAGTTATAAAGGTACCTTTTCATTTGTAGGTACTAAGCCATCTGTGGGAGGATATTTTGGGACTGATATCCTATTCTCCAGTGATTTTTCACCTGATGCCTTATATTACCTGAATCAATCATTGCTTTAGAAGTTGCATGATAGTGATTTTCTTTTTCTGTTATTCTTCATTTGTTTACTGGGTTTCTTTTGTAAAGGAGACTCCCCTTTTCCTTTCTTCCTTCCCCATCTCATTCTTTCTTATCATGTGGACTCATGAATTTTTTTTTATTTAGTTGTTCTTCATTTCTGTCATTCATTTTTATGCTCAAATTTGGCTGGTGGGACCTACTTAATCTTCTGGGTTGACATTACTGTAGCAAAGGTAAACTCTCTGTATTTAACATTTGAATTCATTTTGTAGCCTTGGAAGCTGTGGGGATTAATATAGGACTCATCAGTTAGATGCTCTGCCTTTTGTTTGCCTTAGATAACCTTTCTGTGCTCATTTTCCAGCAAATCACTGAGTTGAAGAAAGAAAACTTTAACCTGAAGCTCCGCATCTATTTCCTCGAGGAGAGGCTGCAACAGGAACTTGATGGCCCCACTGAACACGTCTACAAAACTGTGAGTGGCCCACTTCTGCTGTCTTCCCTGTGTCTGTTCTCACAGTCATTCCAAGCAGATATTTGATTGATTTTGTTCCTAGAGTTGGCATGAATAGATGGAGATGCTAGCATTCGATTTGGATTGATTACGGGGAGCATAAAGATACTAGGCTGACCCTCATGTTAAGCAAATAGGTACATGATTAATTTTAAGGAAGTCTTTTACTCTGTCTTAAACATCAGAATTCTGAGCCACTGTCTTTTTATCTCAGTTGCCTTTTTATAATTATTTACTTGGAAGCAGGCAGTGGAATGATAGAATGGCTTTGGATTTAAGTCATACTGTTACCAATTAACTGGGGTAACTTCAGGCAAGTCACTTTAGCTCTCTGGGCTTGTTTCCAGAGTTGAGTGATAATCCCTGTGTCATAGAGTTGTTTGTGTGGATTAAAAAGGGATGACAGATGGAAAGCTCCGGCACAGGGTCAGTGCTGGATAATTATCAGCATAGTCTTATAGAGGCTTCCTTTGGCCACCCCAAGTTAGGATTGTCAGTTTTTCCTGTGATTTGACTCTTCTATATTCTCATGCTCTTGCTTAGAACTGTCAGGAAAAAAAAAGTTTATTCCTATTTGAAGTCTTGACTAGATATCTTTATCTGAAAACAAACCTTGGCTCTGAGAGTTGAAAAAAGAACTTGGCTTTCTTGAAAAGACAGGAGTATAAACAATATTTCGGTGCCCCCTGTTTTTAGCTTTTTCTGGTAGATTAGCCCTTGGCCTGGGAATTATTCCATCTTTTCTCCTCTGAAGTTTATACCAGTGGAAACTTTTGAAGGAGGAAAAAGAACTCTCCTTGAATGTCAGTGGAGGAGCGTAAATGGGCTCTTTTTGAAGAGAGCTTGTACTGTCCTTTGCAGGAATTGAAAATCTCCCTTGTCCCTGAAGGCACAGTTTTCTTTCTTCATAGGGGTGGGGGTGCAAAGATGACAAGGCTGTCCCGTTTTCTTGAAGGGAATGGTGATACAATCAGAATTTGAAAGAAAAAGCAGTAGTCTGAAACCTTTTTTGTGTAAGTATTGTGGCCATGCATCTTGGAACTTCTGGGGTTATTGGAAGCCACACTGTCAGGCACCTGTCCGGCACCATCTTGGGTGTTTGTGCATCTCATGACAGCCCTGTGCAGTGGAGGTTATCCTCATCTTATGGGGGAGGAAACAGATGCTCAGGGAAGATCAGTAGCTTGGTTGATGTCATTTAGCAAGGTATGAGGCAGATTTTGAGTGCAGGTATGCTTACCTCAGTGTACCATGCTGCTTCACCTGTTTTTTTCCCCTGTTGTCTGTGTAGATGGACTGATACAGTTACCTCCCTCCCAGTTAACTATGTGGGTAGGTGCACATGATTCAGAACTCATAAAACAGAAAAGGGACACACTGGAAAGGGTCCCTATATCTACTCAATATGATTGATTGATTGATTGTGTGTGTGTGTGTGTGTGTGTGCATGTGTATGAGTAAACCTGTTATACAGAAGAACAAGCATGTTCTGCCTGGTTCCTTCTTGCATTTTTCATTTAATTATGTCTTAGATATCTTTGTTTGTTTGTTTCTTTTTTTTTTTTTTGTAGCAGGGATTAAACCCAGGGGTGCTTAACCACTGAGCCATATCCCCAGCCTTTTATTTATTAAAAAAGATTTTGAGACAGGGTCTCATTAAGTCCTAGGACCTTGATAAGTTGCTGAGGCTGACTTTGAACTTGCAATCCTCCTGCACCAGCCTTCAAAGCCTCTGGGATTATAGGCATGTGTCATTGTGCCCAACACTTAGATATCTTTTCTTGGTAGTTTAAGAACTTTTTCATTTTTTATAGCCTTTTAATAGTCCATTTTATACTTAGAAAGTGTTCTGACTTTTAGTTTGGAAATCACTATCATTTATATAAGCTTATAACTTACGATATTGGCCATGTCGGGTGTCCATGTTTAAATCTGCTAGGTTGGGTTCCATTTGGCTCATCACAAAACAGAGCTCTTAGAACATATCAGTCCACTTGGTCCCTGCAGCTCTGTTTTGTGAGAGTTGGGAAGGGCAAGCTGCATGTGGAGGGGGTTTCTACAGTTTCCATAGAGCCACACTTGAGGCACTCAGTGTCCTGGCCTATTGCAAAGGTCAGTTTCTTTTAGGAAAAGTTCTGCCTCATAGGTGACATCTTCAGTTCCTGTTGTGCACAGTGAAGAGGGTAATGTTGGCTTCCTGTGCCAGCTGAGTCAGCCCTCAGAGCCCCCAGGCACGTGGGCTTTGTGCTTTCCACTTGACACTTGAGGGGTCTGAGAAGCGGAGCATGGCTTTCTCACCCTGACCGTGTGCTGGAGAACAGGCACAGGCCACATCTCCAGATCTGTGCCTTCTGTGAGCATGAAGGCAGGGCCTGGAGCAGTCTTGTTTGCTCCAGTGTCCTCACTGTTTGTTCTGTCACAGGCCCAGGGGAAGTGCCTGCAACAGGAAGGAGTGAACAAGCGAGTGTCCTCTGACTGTAGTCTCCTTCTGGGGAAGTGTACAGGTGGAATTTGAACCTGTGGGTCCTTCTGGTCCCATGTTCAAGACTTCCATTTTGTTAGTACTTTCAACTTGGAGTGTTCATTCCGTCAGAACTGCTTGGCAGGAAGAAGGGAGCAATGTCCTCTGAGATTATAAATTGTACTGGAAATAATAACAATGATAGATTATAATTATCAATAACTCTTATTATTATTACTATTATTATTATTATTATTAGGTAATTGGGATTGAACCCAGGGATATTTTACCACTGAGCTACAGCCCCAGTCCTTTTTAAAATTTCAAGACAGGGTCTAAGTTGATGAGGATCTTGCTGGATTTGTGATCCTCCTTCCTCAGCCTTCCTAGTCTTTGGGATTATAGGTGCATGCCACCACATCTGACTGGTTATTTTTAGTTGGAATAATATATGTGTCATGGAGTAGAATATAAAATTGTCACTAATTATTAAAATAAAACAGGAGAGTGAATTTAGAGGAATCTTGGAATGCGAACTCTGTACTCTGAACCCCTGTCTCTGCTGCATGCATTCTTCTCATCATTCTCTCTGGGATACATGAGGGGATAGGTTTGAGAAGCCCGCCATTGCTCCACTGTCTCATGTTGTGTTCTGTCTGTCTAAGATTCTGTCTGAATCTCACGTGAGTTGTGGTGTGTGAGGATGGTGTGTGTCTCACTTTGTTCCCGTCAATTAAGAGAAAGCTGGTTGGAGAACACTGTCCCTTAGTGTCAGCCTGCTCCATGCGGTGTGGCTTTTTTGTGAGTACCCTGAAATCTTATATCTAAGCCAGACAGACCATGATGTGGACTCCCACTTACCCGTTCCCAGGTTTTATTTATTTTGTTTAAGCTGTAGCATGTTCTCACTGCTACAACCACCACATGCATGATTGTAAACAACCAGAAGTAATTGCCTGGAATGGTAAAAGCAAACTGTAAATTTGCTTGGCGGAAGGCAAACAATTTTTAAATCAGCCTCACTTGTATGACATTTATGCCTCGATATTTGAATGCTCTGGCTGTTAGAAGCTTGCAGCATTTGCATAATTGTTCCAAGTCTAGAGAAACCCAGGGCTTTCTTTTGAGACCACCAGTGTTTAATAATTCCCTTTTCCCTGTGCCTTGAGGCTAATGAGGGCTTCGAATTCTAACATCTGCTGTTAAAGCGTTGCAGGGTCCGTCTGTGTGGGGGGCGGCTCGCCCACCGATGAGATCTCGAGTCTTACGCTGCTTCTTTTCTTTCCTTATCTGGAAGAACATCGAGCTCAAGGTGGAAGTAGAAAGTCTGAAGAGGGAGCTGCAGGAGAGAGAGCAGCTGCTCATCAAAGCCTCGTGAGTACCTTGGTGCTGCCCAGCTGGGAGGTCACCCGGGCTTTCCACGGTGGGCGCTAAGCTGGTCAGTAACTGCTTTTCTAAGCCAGTTGTTCTCTGACTGGCCTCCAAGGACTCCAAGGAAGTTTTGGTTTTATTTAATTACTAATTTTTCAATGAACTAGCCCAGAAAAACGAACAGGTCTTAAGTTCAGCATGGTGAATTTTCACCAAGCAAACACACCCGGGGAACCATCCAGACCAGGAGGAGAACACTATGGGTTTGAAGCCTCCTTGTGCTTCTCCCCAAGGTAGCCACTGTTTTGATCACTCTTGTCATGATTGCTTAGTTTTCCCTGGTTTTCAACTTCATATAATTGGAATTATACAATAATGTATTCTTTTGTGTCTAGCTTCTTTCCTTAGCAATATATTTGTGAGATTCATCTGTTATTAATTATGTCAGTGGTTCATTCATTGTAATTGCTGTCAAAGTCAAGGGGGCACCGTGGCGCACACCTGTAATCCCAGGGAGGCTGAGTCAGGAGGATTGAGAGTTCAAAGCCAGCCTCGGGGAGGCTCTGAGCCTCAACTCAGTGAGACCTCGTCTCTAACTAAAATACAAAAAAGGGCTGGGGATGTGGCTCAGTGGCTGAGTGCCCCTGGGGAAAAAAAAAAGTCAAGGGGTCCTGGTGGGTGAGGCAAGGAAGCAGAGGGTGGGGTAACTATTTAAAAAATCTGTTACAGGCCCTAGGATCCCTATAATGTTTTGTTTGAAAGGGGTTCTATTACTTAAAAAAAATTGAAATATTTTAGTATTTCCATTAATGAGTTAACATTCAAAAGTTAATGTGTTTGTTGAACAACAGCACAGTTTAGAGAACACAGCCTGCAGTCAGCTGCTTCTCCATTCATCCATCAACATTTATTACGTAATGACTTGTGTCACACACTGAGGACCTGAAAAGAGACACTACCTCCCCCCAGCACTCACTGGAGCTGCTGAGTGGTTTATATTCTTGTGAATGAGTGGAGTGTGGAGAGGCAGTGATGGAGGGCATTTTTGGGGAAAGTGGGGCTCGATTTGTCTCCGACGACTTCCCAGGGCTGCCTCCCTGAGGTGGGCTGGAAGCTCACGTGGGCATGCTCCCTTTATCATGGAAGCAGAGCTCCTGCTGGGCGTGGCTGGCTCTTTGGCTTGGGGCACAGCTGCTCCATGCCAGGCCAGGGTAGCTCCTCTCACTGCCATAGTCTGGCAGCTGGACATTGGTCTGTGTTGGCTTTGAGCAGATGAGAGGTTCCCAGGCCTGGGCTTCTCCTCTGAGCTATGCTAAACTTGCACAGGCAGCATTTTGTGAATGTGCAAATGAATAAATATAAGCAGATTAAAAGTCTTTGTTATTATTTATTTATTTGTTTATTTTTGGAAGCATGTCATTCTCAGCTGTGAGGCAAATCTACTTTCCTAGGCCTGGAGATCAATAATAGAATTTAGTGTGTTTCCTGTACATTGCAGGCCTTGTTATTAGCTGAGCATGTGCATAGGGAAACACCAGTTGACAAGGTCTCATGTGCACGCTTCAGGGACAGCACGCAGCATGGAGTGCTCGGGGCCTTGCACACAAGTTTGTGTGCATATATTTTCCAGTCTGTCCAGGCTGGTGTTCAAGGCCCTTTGCCATCTGACCAGCAGATGCTGTCTCTGCTGGATGGGTCAGCTGTTGTGTGCTGCACTGGACAAGGTTCCTGAGGTTGCAAAGTGATGATGAAGCTTAGGTTCTAGTGGAGCTGATGGCAGTCAAGTATTTGCAACAGTAAAGGCATGAATGCAAATTGGGAAAAGAGCTATAAGGAGAAAATAAAGGGAGCTGTGGGGGTTTATAGTTGCGGGAGTAGATATGTAGGTACGTAACTGGGAAGATGAGCCTGTGAGGTGGCATTTGAAATGAAATCTGAGGCGTACGGAGGAATTGGCAGGTGAGTGGATGGAGAAGCGTTGAAGGAGAAGGGAATGAGTATATGTCTGAGGAAATGAGAAGTCTAGGACCCTAGTGATTTTGGTCTTTCCCCTAAGATCAAATGAGCAAGTGACACAATCTAGAGTTTTGCTCTTGAGAAGGTCACACTCTGTGCTGGAAGTGGGTGGTGGGGGGAGCGAAGGGGAAGCAAGGAGGCCAGTTAGGACGCTGTTCAGTGGGCCAGGTGAGAGCCAGGTGCTGAGTGGTGGTGGTGGGAAGGACACTTGGGCAAGCCCCCAGGCCTTGGTGTGAATGAGGAGGAGAGGGCAAGGCTGGTGCCTCCTGGGTTAAGAGCATGAGCTCTGCTCGGAAACGTCGCTGGGACTTCACCACTTTAGCCTCCTCTCCACCAGCTCTGCCCTGCTGCTTTGAGGGCTCCACTGGTGCTCCTGTTCTGGCGTTCTCGCCTCGCCCTGGCGGGCTCTTCCCCTTTTGGTCCCCCCAGCCCAGTGCCTTTCCCACTGCCTTGCCCTTGGAAAGGCTCTAATGTGGGTCACCGAGGCTCCTCCAATCCACGTCAGTCTCTTCAGACTCTGACATGTAAGTGCATACGATAAGTCCGTATGCACACCACTTTTGAGGTTAAGAACACTTTCACTCCCCTTGACATCCCATCATTATTCTGAGCAGAGCAAATCTCAAGGAGTACCCTCATTTTATAGAGGAGGGGATTTGGGCCTGGCAACAGGAAGGGTTCTAAGCCCTTGTCAGAAAGGTCGGAACGAGGGTGAGTTCCCCATCATGGAGCACAGCGCCAGGCTTCAGGTTTTGTTTTTTGATTTTCATGCATAGATGGAAGATACCTTTGCCAATATGCTTCCCTCAGCTCTCTTTTCCGCTGTGTGATTTTTGGTGGGAGTGGAATATGGGACCTGCTATAGGAAAAGCCCTTGCTTTTCCCTGAAAACTATAATTAGAATGGAAAGAATCCAGAGAGAATGTTGAGGATACAGGGTAATGAGAAGAGAGCTGGGATGTAGCTTCATGGTAGAGTGCCTGCTTAGTGTGCTCACTGGGGAAAAAAAAATAATGAGGGTAGTATTTCTAGAAGGTTCTTTCTTGTGTTGGGTAGAAAGCTAGATTAGACCCATTTCCCTATAGTCTCCTTGACTCCCTGTATCTCCCTATCTACCTGTTAGCCCAGATTCTATAAGAAAAGCAAGGGTAGAAGGAGGGAACTAACAAGAGCTAGATCCTACTTTGTCCCAAATCCTGTTCCTAGCACTTAATGTGCTTTTTTCTGTTGATCTTCATAACAGTTATGTGAGGCAGCCAGTGTTCCCATTTGAGTGAAGAGAAAATCGAGGCTCAGAGGAGAGGGGAAACTTGCCTGAGTTGGTCACTGAGCTGGGTCTGCTCTGGCTCCAGAGCCCACTCTGCCTTGCTGTGAAGTAAACATATTTGTTTGCTCATTTTCCATTGTTATATTTATCAGTTACAATAAGGGGGCATTAAAAACAAAAGCAGTCATATTGTTGGGAGTAAATTTTATCTCCGTAGCTTTAAAACACAAACAAAAAATAATAATTCCATTAGCAGAGGAAAATTGTACCATACTGCTGAGTATAAATTTTATTGCTACAGTAACTGTAAAATACAAAGATGATAAATGAAAAGTTGGAACATTTATTATTGGGAATATATTTTATTGGTATAACTAAAACACAAACAAACTGAATAATACCAGTAGTTGTTAAAAATTGTAGTCAGCCTCTTGACAGTGTACATGATTCAGGCTGTAAAATGCCAAGGTTAGATGGGAGCTGGTGGAGGGAGGCTCTGCTCTGGTGGGTGGGGTGAGGGCAGGGGTTAAAGAGGGGAGCGATTTTATAGTGGAGGCTCCATAAAGCCCCAAGGGCTAAGACATTTGTGAGCCACCCATGGCAGGAACTTGGGGCCAGAAAAACCCTCCGTCTGTGGCACAGGATGGAGGGCACGGGATGGAGCGAGTCTGGCATCCTTTTAGCCTTCTCTCATGCCCCTCGAGGGGCCATAGAAATGATTGTAAGTCACTGTGAGTTTGCGCGAGTACTGAAACGAGTTAAGGGAGAGGTTGCCGAGGATACTTAATGGCATTAATCAGGAGGTGGAAATGATGGCCCTGGTTCTGGCTGGGGGGGTGAGCTATTCCAGCTCAGAGCCCAGCAGAGGGATGGCAGGAGACCTCCTGCAGCAGCTCAGCAGGGGCCTGTGCTGCTCTGGCCTCAGAGGCAGCAGCCTCAGTGCGGTGCAGAGCACTCAGATGGAGGAAGAGGCGCCCGCGTGTCAGCCATTAATTCTAAGAGGTAATCATCTCATTTTTCACATGAGGAAACTAAGGGGTAACAGGTAATTTACTGAGGCTAGGTAATGTACCCAGAGTCACACTGGCACTAGAATAGAGCGAGACTGTGGAAGCGGATCTGTGTAGCTTCAGAGCCCATGCTCTTTACTTGCAGTTGTTCACACTGAATTCCATTAACATGATATCACAACCCTGGGGCCTTCTCCAGCCTTATTGGGGAAAGGAAAAAACAGATATAAATAAGGTCTTTATTTGCAGGCAACTCCTTTTTGAGACTTGGACAGCAAATTGGCCCTCTTGACTCTCTATTGTTCTTGGTAAAACGGTCACATGGCCTAGATGTGTGAGTGCCTGATCACAGGGTTCTCTGTTGGGGAAATTTTATATACCCCTAAAGTAGGACATGGGAGGCTAGTGGTGAAGACATTTTTTTCTGTTGCAGTTTTTCTGAGAAACAGCTTTAGGTGGAGCCATTTCCTCTGTTATCCTGCTTTCTGGAAACCTGCAATCATTTAGAGATCCGACACAGTCTGAGTCTGCAAATCCGTGTCTGACGCATTTTATTGTGGAGTCAGTGGTTGTGGCCCACATCTGCCCGGGCGCTATCCCCACACTGTTCAATGTGCAGAAGGATATTCCAGGGGCCACAGTGGTTGCCTTGTATGTTTTGTGTCATCTCCCTCTTTATTCCCTGAGAGGTAGCCTGAGCTGCAACAGATGGACCTAGCTGAATGTAAGGTGCTGTCCCCTCTTGCTGGTACAGTGTGACACTGTGCTTCTTAGCCCTCCAGATGCACTTTTGTTGCATTTGCTCCTTGGCATGTTAGTTGTTAGACCAGCTTTCCTGTACCCCTGGTGGACATGACGTGTGCCTGGTCAAGAACTTCCTGGTGGATATTCAGGCAGTAACTTCATGAGTCTTAAAAGTGTGCTTGCCCTTTGACCCATCAGTTCCCTTTCTAGGAATCTACCCCTAGGAAATCAATGGATGGTAGACATACAAGGATGCTTTTATCATAACACTGCTTGGCATATTAAACAATGGCACTAATGCTTATTGAATGCTTATTTCATACCAGCCACTGATCTCAGATTTTTATGAGTATTATCAAACATGTTAAATCAGAAACAATTTAAATATTTAAAATATAAGCAGTTGATTTAATAAATCATGTTATATTTTATACAGTAAGTTGATAGGTAGCTTTTAAAATAATGCTCTAGATTTCTACTTACTGACCCAGAAGAATATTTATAGTGTATTAAGTAATAAGGTCAGTTCACTGATATGTATTAAATGGTTCTGTTTGTGTACAAAATGTCTGAAAGGCTACATACTCAAATGTTGACTTTGTTATCCCGAGTGACAACTTTATGCATGCGTCTTACCTTTTTCTTATCTGTGTTTTGAAATTACATTAAAAAAAGAAAAAAGAATCTTGGCTTAGGGAGGTGGGAGAGATGACTAACAAATATTCCTTGTCTCTGGGGAGCTGCCAAAGTTACCCTCAGACTCTCACCCTAATGTGTTTTGCCCTCTGCCTTTTTCTGCAGCAAAGCAGTTGAGAGCTTAGCTGAAGGTGGTGGCTCTGAAATTCAGCGGGTGAAAGAAGATGCTCAGAAGAAGGTGCAGCAGGTGGAAGATCTCCTAACCAAGAGGATACTCCTTCTGGAAGGGGCAAGTCTGCAGACCTGAGGGACTGTGCTTCACACCGCGGGTTGATGAGTGATGGGCAGTGTTGTTCCTAGACTGTCAAGAGTTTCAGCAGTTGCTATAGGGCACCCTCACCCTTATTGAGCATCTCCTGAGTTTACTCCCCATTTTAGACACTTTATATATATAATTCATAACCATCATACCCTGAAAACTGGCTGCCATTGTCTTCATTCCTATATGAGACACTGAGGTTCAGAAAGAAATATTAACAGGTCCAAGTTAAATCCTAGATTTAGAGCTGTAACTGCTGGATTTTGAACCTGTGCTCTTTTGATCACACCACTCTGTTTACCATCTTGTTTGGTCCCTTTATTATAAAGATGAGGAAGCTGAGGCCCAGAGAAGGGAAATGACTTTCTTACCTAAAGCTAGCTGAGCCTGGAACCAGAAATCCTGGCCTTTAGCCATCACCTGCCTGTTCAGCCCCTGTCCCTCTGGCCTGACCTCATCCAACCATCCTGCCAGTGCCCACTGACTGTCCTTTCTCTCTGAGGCCCTGTGTGTAGCTTCTCCTTCTACTCATTCTCAGTTATGTGTTTCCTGTGATCATGATGCAAGCCAGGATGTTTCCTGGCTAAAAAATCCTGTGTGTGTCTGGGTTACAAAGTTTTCCTCCATTTTAACTGTTATTAACTAATATGGGTTGAGCGTCCTTATCTGAAATGCTTGGGACCAAAAGTGTTTTGGATATGGGTTTTCTTTGGATTTTAGAATATTTGCATTTACATAATAAGATATCTTGGAGGTGGGACTTTTTTATTCTCAATATGCAGTCCATTTATATTTCATATAGTACATATATTTCATATATGCTTTAAGTACATAATTTCATACAGTATTTTTAGTGTGCTTGTGTTTTGACCATGTCACGTGAGGTCAGATGTGGAATTTTCCACTTGTGACATCATGTTGGTACTCAGAAAGTTTCAGATTTTGGAGCATTTAGAGTTTGGATTTTTTGATTAGGGATTCTCAGACTATTCTAATTATTTAATTCCTGGTCTTTGGAGTAGTTTGATCTCAATTTTTCTACCCAAAACTCTGGTATCTTTTTAGTGGATGCAAAGAGAAATGGCTCCAACAAGCACTTCTGGATGTAAAAAGCAGAGTCTGTATTGAGCAGCTGCAGTTACCTGCTACTCAGGTTGTGTCATCAGCCCTTACCTTCCCTTGGGCCACACAGGCGTTAGGCTCAGAAAGAGCGAGAAACTATCTAAGCCAAAAGTGGTCGAGTGGGACCTTTAAAAGAAGGATTTTCTGGAATGTATGAAAATATAATTATGATGCTTTGAAGTGATGTGGCTTTTGATTTGGCCTCCTGGTTTCCCCAGTGTGTGCTTCCCTGTGTTTTGGCGTGCCACAACCTATCTTTGTCACCTTGGACGAGGCATTTGCCTTTCCTTTGCCTCTGCTTCTGTGAAGTGAAAAGAGTGCCTGCCGCCTGCTGTGTGGAGTAGAGGGAACCAGCATCAGCGGAGGCTGCTGGTGGGCGAGGCTCCCTCCCAGCGCTGCCTGTGCACACTGACCAGTTAATCCTTTCAGTAAACTGAGGAGGCAAATAGTTTTACCACCCTTTTTCTCCTTTCGTTCTTTTTAAACAGATGATGAAGGAGGCAGAGTGGCTGAGTCACGGCTCCAGGTCCCCGGTGTACATGTCCGGTGGTCTGGCTGCCAACCCACATTCTAGAATGCTGTTCTGTACAGTTTTGGTTATAACATTTTAGGGTTGCTGAGGATCAAATGTGATATAAATAAAGCTTCTTGCTTAGAGCCTGGCATTTAGTAGGCACTTAGTAAATAGCAGGCTTTATTGTTTGTTGTCTTAGAATATGGGGGATGGTTTTTGCCAGCTTTCATTAGACTGACAGGCAAGCCTCCTGGGGAGACAGGCTTGGGGGGTACAGTGGAGAGAAAGGGCAGGGAGAAGGAAGCCAACGTCTTTTGAGCTTCCTGTGATGCAACATGTTTTTAACAGAGTTTCACAGCAGCTCTTTGATGAGATAGTGGTTATTCCTGTTCTACGGATTGGAAAGCTGGGGCTCAGAAAGGTTAAGGGACTGTCTGAAGTCACATAACAAATAAGTAGGAAAGCTGGGTTTTGAACCCAGTTTGAGTTGATTTTATCTTTGCAATATAATCAGAGGCAGGGGGCTTTAATAGTTGGAGATTTAGGCCTGCTCCTAGGTTACTCGTGTGAGCACTGGAGCTTTTCCCCTAACACAGACACTGCATGGGTGATTTATATAATTTTCTTGGTGGATTCTCTGAGCTCTCAAGAAGAACACAGAGTTTTTCACCACCTAAATCACTTTGGAGATCTAGAAAATGTACTTTAGAATTGTGTAGTCATTATCTTAAAAAGAAATGGGGGTGGGGGGGTGGGATGAATCTGTGTGGTGATCATGGTGACTCTTTGGAATTTATGTGTGTTTAGTATTGAGAGGCGCATTTCCCCTTGTTCTCATTGAAGCTGTAAATATTGATCTGATTTTTCAAAACCAAAAGTACAGTTCTTGTAGAGTTGATTCTTTTCCATTGGAAATGCCTATTACTCTTCAGGATACAAGAGGGAAAAATGGCTGGCAAATGTATTTATTACCGATTCTTTCCATGTATAGTACAATTCAGGGAGGGGAAATGTGCCGGAGAAAAAGTCATAAATATTTATATTTTAATCCAATTTCCTTTCAAAATGTTCCCAATTGTATTGAAAAATTGCATCAAATGCATTTAATTTAACTCTAGGATGTGAAAGCCGCCCAAGCAGAACTGGAAAAGGCCTTTGCAGGAACAGAAACGGAGAAGGCTCTTCGGCTGAGTTTGGAAAGCAAGCTTTCAGAGATGAAGAAGATGCACAAGGGGGACTTGGAGATGGTCCTGGTTCTGGAAGAGAAGGACAGGTCTGGCTCTCATCCTGGTGAAATCCTAACGTCTCATTATCTGCGGCGTGGGGAAAGGATTGTTCCTTTCCTTCCCTTCTTTTCCTCCATTCCCTCCTTGTCCCAAGGCTGTGAGTGGCTTACTGGAACATCTCCAAAGCAATAAGATAGCAAACTGGGGATGACATTGGGCAGGAAAGAAAAGGAATAGAATGTAACATGAGGCAGAGACAGTAGATAGCTATTCACGTGGGTAAGTTCCATTTAGATACTAAATCTAGCATTCAGTGTTAGCTTTAAGATTCCTGGTAACCAAGGAAAAAAGGAAAAACAATTTTGGTGGACATGAGATTTGCATTCCTCCCTGGGTAAAATAAGCCAGTAGCTCAGAGGAAGCCCAGTTGTACTTGGCACTATCAGAGAAAAATTTCTCTTGTGGTTCTTTCCACGGGAAAAGTAAGTGACCATATCCTCATAATAAATACTAGTGAATTTTGTGTGACCTGTTTTCCATCATATCTTTGAATGCTGGCAGGAGGCCCAAATCGGTACAGTACAGGGAGCCAAAAGCAGAACAATGTCAATTAGATACAGAGTCTGCTGGAGTCCAGAGAAACAGTGGACAGTAGGCCTTTTGGCCATCTTTAGTGCTCATCATATTTTACAGCCAAACTTTTGATAGAAACTCGTTGGGAGAACGTTTATGTTTTATTTGTTACCATGAACCTTACATTTTGATACTCCTGCCTTGTGTTGGTAGTCACTAAATGGAAGGTTGAGTTAGTTAAATGTCAGTGAGACACTAGCTAACCAGTGACCTATCTGTCAAAGAGACAAGCTTGTTTGGAATTTGATGGAAATTGTTCCAAAGTGAATGAACTAAATCAGGGAATACTGACTAGTTCCTTTCATTAAAAAAAAAAAAAAAAAGTCACTGGTGCCTCCTGCATTGAAACACCCCCTGCCCCCACAATATAGTTTAGTTCTTATGTCCAAATGCTGGTGGCTTTTACTTCTCTCTGGGTGCCATCTTTTGAGATTTGTGTCTGCTACTTACTTTCATTTATGGGTTGGAAAAAATCAGATGAGCAAACCTTTTGCGATTTCCTGTGAAAGAGGAGAGCCCGTGGTCTCCATGTTTAGGTGCTCTAGCTTCTGCGTTTGGAGGAGCTAGCATTGTTGAGCATGCTGTGGCCTTTTCTTCACTTTGAAATTAAGTTTTGTGATGAGGAAACAGTTCTCTGTGGATCCCAGTGGAGGGAGTAGGGACCATCTCGGCTTACCATTTGAGTCCTGTGTTTTTCTTGATCACATTGCTAGGAAGAGAATCTTCCCTGGAGTGGGGTTTTACCCTAAGAGCTTGTAGAAGCCACTGAAGAGTTAGGGATGAGGTGCGGCATGACAGGATCAGGTTTAAATTTAGAGAAGCTGCCTTTGGGTCAGGTACAAGACTGGTTTTCAGGCTGATACAGACTTGCAGACAGGAGGTGATGTGACCAGCACGGGGGAGAGGTTGGAGCGGAGGAGAACAGGCAGAGATGGAGAAGGTACAGGGGATATGATGACCGAATGGATGTGGGCTGGGGGAAAAGGCTGCAGGCTGGGCTGTATCCTCTGGGCCAGGGTGGAGCCCGAGCAGCTGCGGGATGGGAGTGCAGTTTGCTGAGTTGGGGAAAAAGGGGAAAGAAGACGTGTGTTGGGGGGTGGGGGGGGAAGATGCTGCTTTCTTTCCGGACCCAGTGGGTTGAGGACTATGAGTGAGTGAGTGGGGCTGAGGAGGTAGGTGGATCAAGGCCGGATGGAGGATGAGTAGATTCATTCCTTAACCAGCTGCTGAGCTCGGCCTGGGGTGCGCATAGGAAACAGAGGAAGCACAGTCCTGTTTATTTGGAGCTCTGGGTGGAAGAGGCAAATTCAGGGCCCTGTGCTCAGCGAGGGGCAGGGAAGGCTCATCAGGGGAGGAATCCTGGAGGTGCTAGCTCAGGGAGTGGTGTGTGCAAAGCCTGTCACACAGCCTGATTGTGGAGTCCCCGATAAGTATTCCCGGTTCGCGTTGCTGCGGAAGCATGATTTCTTGTTTTGTTTGCTGGGGGAAGAGGGAATTTGGGAGGATGAGTACTTACTTTTGTCCGGCTGGTGGGTTCCCCGGGAATGTGGGTGGCCATTCAGAGCTTTGGTAAAGGCTTCATCTTCCTGGGGTTCCCGTAGTTCCGTCTAGATGGGCACAGAAATCTGGTTTGTCAGACTTGTGAATGTGTTTGTCTCAGGGGTAGAGGTGTCCCAGCTGCACTGCCAGAGACTGGCAGCCAGATGCCAACTCCAGATTTGTGTTCAGGATTTGACGGTCTTTATGGTGAAACTCTGGGGACACAGATCTGTGTGCTCCCTCTCTGAAATCAGTCCTGCCTACTAGGCTCGTGGGGGTCAAGAGGTTAGCACTGCATTAAGCAGGGGTCCCTGGTTACATCCTGGTGAGAGGGGTGCCAGATCTGCCAGAGTGACTCTCTGTTGGGCCTGGAGTTGGATCCTGAGGCCTGGCCTCTCACTTGGGTGGGCACTGCCAATATCTTCTGGGCTCCCGCCACCCCTTTTCAAAGACACAGGTTGTAGTTCTAGTTACTTTATTTCCTTCAGTCTGGCCTTTGAACTATTCGAATCTAAAAGGCAGTCAACTTTGGGGACCCTGCAAGTCGAATATGGCCTGCAGATATATTGTCTTTTCTTTGGTCTACACAGTAGTTTTAAGTTTGAATTAGTTGCCAATATCTAAAACAGACTTTCATGTAAAAGTCTGGATTTCCAGTTTCTCTTGAAAATCTCCAGATGCTGCCTTGCTGGGTCAAAGCTGCTGTTCCCTGTGGATGAGCCAGTCCTTCAGCTGGCCTCAGACTCCACAAGCCTGCCCCACTTTTTTCACTCCCTATCTGAAACTTGCTTTCTGGTAACTGAAAAAAATCAATTTTATTGAGTTATAAATTACATACAATACAAGGCATCCATTTAGAAGTGTATTGTTGGGTGACTTTTTACCTCTCCATTGATGATGTGATGATCCCGAGCTAGACCCCTAGAGGGCAGTCTTACTCCTCCCTCCACATTTTTGGGGGCATTGTGCAGGTGCAGCCTGGTGCCCCATCCCAGTGCATTGCTAGCTGTTCCAGCTGCTGTGTCTCCTTCCTAGCCTTAGCTGGGGGAGCTGAGTGCTTCAAGAGGGCTGCTCTGCTGTGTTTCCAATCTTTTAATCTCTTACTAAAACTGAGTTGCTTCCTGGCTTAGCTGCAGAAAGCCTCTTCTGAGGTCCTCGGACAAAATGCTAATTGTTGAATGTTGAAAAAGGTAGTAATTTTAACAGCTGTCATTTGTTGAGTTCTGCCACAGGCCACGAGCTGTGAGGGTTGTGTTAAATGGCTTAACTGCAGTCCACATGAGCAAGTTATCCCTTTCATAGCCAAGGAAATGCAGGCTCAGAGAGGTCAGATGACTTGCTGTGGTTGGGGAGTGGTTGATATGGGGACTTTAGTGCTCAGAAGAGAATGTGTTCATTTCTCCCTGTTGGGGCCACTCAGGTTGTGGATGGCAAAGCTTTCCTTAAGGGGAAAATGCTTAACCAGTGTGACCTGGTGGGACAGATGGGAGAGGGTGGGACAGGGCTGGGAAGGACATTCCAGGAGCAGCTTATACAAAGGGATGGAAGCACACAGTCTGGTTTGGGAGAGAGCCGGAAGTGAGGCTACTACCTAGCAGTGGAGGGTAATGGTTTCCTTTGAGATGAGACTGAGGCTTGGATATCTTGTCCAAGAGTTTGGCCTTTAACTTGAAAGTCAGTGTGTTTAAAAGCTTTGCCCTGAGGAGCTGTGGAGGAATCCCCTTGTTTTCTCCACACTCACCAGAGCAGCTTTCCATCAGTTGTGTTTGCACAGACTTCTTTTGGAGGCAGGATTTCTTACCCAGAAAAATATTAATCCACTGCAGTTGGTGGGGGCAGTTGAGGTCTTTGAATAGGGGTGTGATCTGACCAGTGTGGCTGCCCAGAGTTGGATTCACGGGGGCCAGGCTAGAGGCAAGGGGACCTGTTAATGTCATACTGGTTCTGGCCTTTGACATCTGATCTGCAAGGTGTGTTTTTATTTTTGTTTAGTCACTGGACCTGTCTATTTTGAACATGTCTGGCTCCATTTCCTGCCTCCTCCTGCTCCACTGAGCTAAGAGAACAGCATAGAATTAATATTTAAATTTTGTTCTCTTTTAGACTGATTGAGGAGTTGAAGCTGTCTTTGAAGAGCAGAGAAGCTTTAATTCAGTGCCTTGAAGAGGAGAAATCTCAGACGGCATGTCTTGATGAGAATGTGTCATCTGGAGAGCTCCGAAGACACTCTGCTGCTCTGAGGGAGGAAAAGGAGAGAGATGCTGAGGTGAAGTGTCAGGGCACCAGGGGGCGCTTTACCAGCTCCTACTCCTCTATGGGAGATGGACTGGCCTTCATTCTGTGTGGTTCATACATGGTCAGCTTCCAAATATGAGTCCTGTGAGCGAAGAATCAGCAGAAACAGCCTTTGTCAGGACCTGGCATTTTCTCTCTCCTCTCACATGAAGAGTTGGTTAGAAAAACAGTGCCCGCTGGTCTGTCTCATCATGTGATAATCTGTCCTTGCCTGCGGACTCTGGTTTCATCATTGGGCTTTCTTAGAGTAGAACAGTGGTGCATTGTGCTTGTCTGTTTAACCTGTGTGCTGAGAGGCAGGCTTGAGGCCAGCTTTGGTCTGAAACTTCAGAGGTGGTGGGGGGACGGAAGTGAGCCCTGCTGGGCCTGGTGGCATGCGAGGGGTTCAGTGGACCACCTCATTCAGTCTTCCCAGCCACCTGGCCAGGAGGAGATCCCTGTCCCCTTTTGAGTTTAGAAGCAGACTCAGAGGAGTTGTTATATTTTTCCAGGCTCTAAGAGGGGGGTTACTGAGAGCTGACCCCAGCCCTGGACCCCTGCCCTGACTCTAGGCGGCCTCCACAGCTACTGTTGGGAAGAGGGAGGTCAGGGCCAGGAAGTGCAGGCGGGTCTTGATCTAGACCTTCCATTCTTTCCTTCTTTCCTTTTCTTTTTTTTTTAAACTTGTAGGTGGACACAATACCTTTATTTTATGTATTCCTTCTTTTATGTGATGCTGAGGATCAAACCTCGTGCCTCACATGTGCTAGGCAAGTGGTCTACCACTGAGCTACATCCCCAGCCACTAGAGCTTCCATTCTTGCTGGAGCAAGGGTGGCTGCTGCATGCAGGGGGTTCACAGTGGGGCATGTTCTGGGTGCTTGTGAAGGTCTTGGTTCCTTTATGGAGCAGGGCCGTTGTCTCTGCCTTATCAGTGAGTTCTTTAGCCTTGCCAGGAAATGACATTGCCTCTTACTTCTCCTTTTAAGCCTCCTTTGCACTCCGCGGGGCAGAGAAAAGGAGAGAACCCTTGACTTAATGAATGCCACAGCAATGGGGAAAAGTAGGTTCATGAGGTGCTTGTTCTGCTTGTTTTAGGGTAGCTATTGTGGGTGCCGTCTCTCTGGGTCTAACGAATATCTTTTCTTAGGCTGCACAAATGGAGCATCAGAAGGAGAGAAGTCATTTTGAAGAAAGGATCCAGGTATATTGATACATTTTATTGAAGATTTCTCCTATTCTTGCTTCTTGTTTTATTCCAAGTGTGATAGACAATTCTGTGTATCTTTAGCAGTCAGTTATTGAATGCTCCTGGGTGCCATTAAACTTAAGAATCTTTAGAGGGAGTTTCTCAATCTTTGTGGTAACTCTGTGTAGACAGTCCTGTTTTACAGATATGGTATCTGAGACTAGGAAGGTGAGGTCACTTGCCCAGGATCACATAGCTGGTTAGACTATGGTGAGGACTCAGACCTGCCAGTCCACGGGCTCTCCCAGTCATGGTAGCCGGATCTGTGTTGTGCCCGCAGCATAGAAAGTGCTTTCATGTCCATTACCTCATTTGACCCTTACAGCAACCCAGGAGGGAGGCAGCAGTGATTATCTTTAGAAATAAACTTAAACTGTAAATGTGTAGTTTAGTCTCCATCAAACCAGATTCTCTGCTAGCTTTTGTAGCATTAAGGAATGAAATTAATGATCTGTTATTTCCCTCCAAATAACCTGGTACAGTTCAAAGACTCTGATGTGACTGTATTCAGATTTTGGAAGGCACTGGAGCCCTTCCCATAGGAATAGCTGTCATCATCTCAGCTGATCTGATCCCCTTCCCTTCACCCAGTCCTGTTGCCGAGAGCAGTAACACAGTAACTTGTAGCTGATGCCACTGCGTTCAGCTCGACTTGGAAACATTAATCACAGGTTGACAGGAATAAGATAGAATAACTGCATTTGAGTGTGCTCTTAAAGATATATTTACAGTGCATTTTGGTTGCAACGCATCAACTTAGTGAATCTTTTTCTAATCGAATTTAGGCACTTCAGAAGGACCTGAGAGAAAAGGAAAGAGAAATTGCTGCAGAGAAGAAAAATAGTTTAAAGAGGGATAAAGCCATTCAGGGCCTAACCAGGGCATTAAAATCAAAGGAAAAAGAGGTATGTCTGATACACTTGAGGTGAGATTTTTCTTTATTAGTTTCTGTCACTGGCCTGTTCTACCCTGAATTTTTAGCTTTAGGTAAAAAGTTCATAAGAGAGCTGAGATAGTATAAAAAGTGGGGAAAGGATCCTTTATTTCATTGGAAATCCAGTGCGCCCAAGAAAAATATGTTAAACATGTAATTTAAATTTCCTAATAGTCACATAAAAAGAAGTATAAAGAAACATGTAAAATTAACTTTAATAATATATACTTCCCAGATATCATTTCAATATAAAATCAATAAAACAAAGGTTATAATGAGACCTTTAGCCTTTTTCCCCAGAGTTTGAAGTCCAGATGTTCATCTCGGTCCATACTCGGCACAACTCATGTGGCTAGTGGTTGCCCTGGTGGACAGTTGTAGTCAAGATCTGATCTTTTGGTGGTTAGTAGAAAATTGAGATAAAGGAGTTGATGAACCTGTGACTGGACCAGTTAAAGAGCCATCTGGTTGGTTGTCTTTGGGATCCAAGGAGATGGCTGATGGCTGTCTTCTTGTCATTGGAGCTATCAGTTGTGTCCCAGTGATATGCTAGGCGCTAGGCCCCACATGGAGGGGACACCCAGCTCTGCTCGCAAGTCCAGTGCAGAACCAAGAGTGATAGGTGTGATTGAGGGAGGTGCAGGGGCTGGGGTGGCAGAGGGTGGGGGACTCGATTCAGATTAGGTGTAGATGTGGGGCACAGGGAGTGTACTTAGGGGAGCAGATCCTGATCTGAATTTTAAAGAAGGAGAGTGTGGGTGTTAGATGGGAAGGAAGGCAGAGATGGGTGGCCATTTTGGACAGAGGGAAAATGTTGGTCAAGTCATAACAGGATTATAGGCCAGGGTGTGTGTATGGCACCAAAACCAGCCTGGGGCTGCCCGAACACAGAGTGGAGAACTTGTGTGAGGCGAAAGAAGAAGCTGGACTGGTTGCAGGGGCAGCCAGAGGAGGGGACTAAACGTATTTTCAGCTGCTCAGGGGACATGCCACCGGGGGCTCTTGGGTAGGAGGGTGTGGTCCCATTTTCCTTTTAGAGAGGCCTCTGCAATATTTGGAGAGTAAATTATAGGAGGGAGAGAATGGAGGCAGAGAGGTCAGGAGCCCTGGTGAGAGTCGTAATTGAAGATTAGAAATAAGGTTGTGGAAATCTAATGTTGGATGTTGGACTTCAGATAAGGGATAGTCAGGAGTGACTTTAGGTGTCTGACTCGCATGTCTAGGGACCTGGGGGTGCCACCAGCTCAGACCATAGCATAGAAAATGGAGTCTTGTGGTGAGCTGGGGCAGTGGTGTGGGCGATGGGCTGTTTAGAGAGTACTGGCCTGGGAGCCCTGGCTGAGCTGTCCAGGAGGCAGATGGATCTGCAAGTCTGTAAAGCGTGGAGAGCATGGTCAACCTGAAGAGCTGACTTGGAGTCACTCCCCTGTCTGCAGGTGGGCTTTAAAATCTGAGAGTTGGCCTGTTTACCCAAGGAGAGAGTAGAATGGGAAAGGGGGCTGAGGGTGAGACTGCGGGGGACTGCAAAATTTCAGGGACAGGGTCAGGAGCGCATAAAGCAGGCAGCAGGAATGGTTGCAGGAGTAGGAGCCTGAGCAGGAAACGGGTGCTGACGAAGCTAAAGGAATGCAGGAGTTTGGTGCAACAGAGGTTTGGCTCCTAATAACAGCAGCCACCATTCTTGTCATGTGTTGGAAGTTCAGGGCCCAGCTGAAGCTGGAGACCTCACTGTGTTGGGGAACAGTTCTGGGTGCGAGCAAAGTATACCGTGTGGTCGTGGTAGTTCATAGCTGACCCTAGGGTATAGGAGGCGGTCACTAGAAGATGAAATTCTGGGACTAGCCAGGCCAGGTGGTTGGGTGGGTCATCTCTGTGGCCAGTAATAGTAGTAACACCTGGTATGAGCCAAGCACCATTTGAGCACGAGTGCATATTACCTCATTTAATTCTAACAACTCTATAGTTGGGTGAGTGGTGGTAACCTCATCTTATTAAGTACCAGAGGTGGGGTAGCTTTATCAAGAAAAGAGGTTTATTTAACTCACAGTTTTAAAGGCAGCCCCATATGTTCAGCCTTTCTTTTCTTTTTTTAAGAGAGAGAGAGAGAGAGAGAGAGAGAGAGAGAGAGAGAGAGAGAGAGAGAGAATTTTAATATTTATTTTTTAGTTTTCGGCGGACACAGCATCTTTGTTTGTATGTGGTGCTGAGGATCGAACCCGGGCCGCACGCACGCCAGGCAAGCGCGCTACCGCCTGAGCCACATCCCCAGCCCCGTTCAGCCTTTCTTGAGGGCCTAATGATGGTTGGTAGGAGCATGGTCAAGAGGAAGAGATCTCCAAACAGGAAGTCATAGAGAAACTAGGAGTCCAGAGTCCCTCCTAAGAGCTGACTTAAGGACCAGTTGATGTAAGGATCTCCCACTGAGCTACACCTCTTAAAGGACTCGCCTCCCAGTGTTGCCACACTGAGGACCAAGTTTCCAACACATGAACCATAGCTGAAGTTGAGAGAATTGGATCTTAAAGAGGTTAATTCATCCAGCTAGTCAACTAGAAATCCCACTCAGGTATTTTCTGACCACAGAGCCCTTGTATACACAATTGAGCAGGAAGAGCATTTGGGCTGAGCAGAGAGGAGAGCCCAGTTATATATTTGGCTGCCATTCCTTACTTTTTGCTAGGTTGAAGAACTTAACTCTGAAATCAAAGAGCTCAGTGCTACCTTTGCTGAGGCCAAAGAGGCCCTGCAGAAAACACAGGAAGCACAGATCCTGAAATGCCAGGTGAGTGTTCACTTTAATTTCAGGGTGTGTTTACCCCCCCCCCCCCCCCCCAGGCGTGCTAGGCACTGAGTGCTCATGCTCTGCCACTGAGCCACACTCCCAGCCTTGGGACTGTCTCTTATCCTAACTCCGGATGAGGTCAGGGCTTTGCAGCTGAAGGGAACCTGGATGATTTAAATAAGGAGAGCTGTGGGTGGTCTTTAGTGATAGAATCAGCTCAGTCTGTTTAAGGGGAAATTCTCTGACAGCTTTGGGAGCTTCTCTAGCCCCCTCCTCAATATGATAACAGTGATAACTATTCCCAGAGTTGCAGTGTTGAGTTTACTCTGTGCCGAGTATTAGTGCAGTGTATGTGGATTATCTCATGTGATCTCCCCAGCCCTGTGGGGAAGGTAATCATCCTCACCCTTATATTTGTGAGGTTTTTGAAAACTCAGCAAGGGTGTGTAGCTTGTTCACTGCCACACAGCTGGCAAACTGTGGGGCCAGGATTTAAATGCAGTGATTGTGAATAACAGCAGGCTTTTATTGAACACATACTTGGTGCCAGGCCCTGCTAGGTGCTCCCCATAGATTATCTCAGTTATCTGTCTAGCAGCTCTGTGAAGTAGGCACTGTTAATATCTTGTTTTACTGCTGAGGAAGTCCAGGTTGACAGATTGAAGTAACTTGCTAGGGTCCTTTCACTGGTAAGTGACAGAGCTGGGGTTTGAGTCAATCTCATTGGCCAGCTTGAGCTTTTGCCTGCCATCCCAAACCTTCCCTCACCTGGCTGCTTCAATCCCACCTCTTCCTTCTGAGTTTTGGTTCCAGAGGTCTTGATGTTTTTATGGCTGGTCTTTTCTCTTTTGCTGCCCTACCACATTGTACTAGAGGGACTCCTATTTTCCCCTTTGTCTGTCTCTCTCTCTCTTCCTAATTTCAGTTTTGTGCTCTTTAATTATTTAAGAATTTTCTTCCCGTATTTCTGGTTTCCCGAAACAGTTTATACCTATGACTCAGGATGTGAGGAATCCGCCAGCCCAGTAAGTCCATGCTGCCCAGGGTCTTCTTCCTGTCCCTGCGCCAGTGCTGCTTGTGGTCGTAAGGTGGAAGTTAGAAGTTAAATCCAGGGCATGTGGATCCCTAATCTTCACATCCCTTCCTTATCTTTTGCAGAGCTTTGGTTCACAATAAGAATAATTGAAGTAATTTGGTTTAAATCATGGTATGCTAGATAAACCTCTGCTTTTGTGAGTCTCAGACTTGCCCTCTCCTACTGTGTTGACAGTACTTGATGAAATGGAGCTGCAATTACATTTCACTCTGTTTTTTCTCCCCTAGCTTAGAAAATAACAAGCTTTAAAAGCTGAATCCTTAGGAAAACCATCCAATTTTCCATTGCTTAAGAAAAAAATATATATGTTGGCAATTGATAGCCAGAGACCCGACATTCTTATAAGCTTTGGGGTATTTTACTTATTATGTTGGGCCTTGAAGTAAAGAAAGGAGTCTTATGAATTTAAATGTTTCCCAGAATTATTGCATACATTTATTAATTTAATAACTCTTAGTCCTAGTTGAAAGACTTTCAGAATATTTAAGTCTTGCAGTGCACAGGGCTCAGGGACTGTTGTAACTCCTGGGGTTATGTATGTCAGGTGGGCTGTTTGGAGAACCTTCTTTGAACCTTTATCCAAAAAGATAGTGTGTTTGTGAATGGTAGAGAGTTTGTGGCAGGATTTGAATTCAAATCTGTCTCCAAAGCCTGTTTTTTCCTACTACTCTGTGAGTAAATGTACACGGTACACATATATTGGTTTTCTGTTTGAGGTATGTGCATGGTTTTCACAGACGTGTAAAGTGTCTCTTCCATGTATTGGGGCCTTTTGGATATCACACGATCTGAACTAATTGCAGCAGTAGTAGAAGAGCCAAAGTTCACAGGGCTGGCTTCAAGCCTGACACTGAAGTGACAGTAACTGATAGTTAAGCCTTGGAGTGGCTGCCCAAGCACAGATGCACAGAGACGTGAATTCTGATCCCAGGTATGACTCTGTGCGAGCTGCAGTGTGGGCTGCCTGGCATTCTTCCAAACCCATTTAAACAAATTATTTCCAAATTGGAAATGGCATCCCTCTTCTAACTATAAAACTGAAATGCATATTGTAGGAAGTTTATTTTTACTTTTTATTTATTTATTCATTTTTGGGGGTCCTGTGGATTGAACCCAGTTTTTTTTTTTTATTATTTTTTTAAACCACTGAGCTACATCTCTAGTCCTTTTAATTTTTTATTTTGAGACAGGGTTTCACTAAGTTGCCCAGGCTGGACTTGAACTTGTGATCCTGCTGCTTTGGCCTCCCAAGTTGCTGGGATTACAGACCTGTGTGTTTTTTCTTTTCTTTACCCAACATTCTTGCCACAGTAGTATATATAGATGCACTCAGTCTTTTTTATTTTGAGACAGTTGAGTCACATGTGGTATAGATGTCTGAATTCTTTACTCAGTTGTCAAAGGTAGCATCACCTCCCAGGTCACACAGCTGAAGCTGGCCTTGAACCCAGGGCTCTGACTCTCTCCCTTTTGAGCTCAACATGTTTCTACACAGTTGGCAAGGGTGGTTTGTTTAAGATTATATTTGGCCTTTAGCTTCTGACCATGTTTAATTGGACCAAATATTTGCCATTGAGCATCATTCAGAAAAAGGTAGAAAGCCCTCCAGAGAAGTAGATTAAAAAGCCATTTAAGGAAAATTCAACGTGGACAGTGTTATGAAATGAATAGAATCAATTCATTTAAATTCTTTAAGCTTAGATATTTAAAGAAGTTTCACCATTCCTATTTATGTGGAAATCCCGTAGAACTCTCATCGCTTGATAATAACTGTTAATATCAAAATTAGGCACATTTAACAAGTGCCTAATTGATGTTCCTGTCTCTAACCTCCACCCCCACCCCCAACTCATTCTCCTTGTTTTCATTCTTCTTCCTTCCTTCCTTCCTTCCTTCCTTCCTTTTCTTTTCTTTTCTTTTTTCTTTCTTTCTTTCTTTTTTTTTTTTTGAGTTCATTGGAATCCTCACTGCCCTGGGCAGGGCAGTGCAGTGCTGTGGAAAGAACACAGGCCCTGAGTCATTTGAATCCCAGATCTAGTCACTGTGGTCTGAAGACAGACTAGTCATTTAGTAGTTCTCAACTTGTTATTTAAATGGGCACAGAAATGTGTACTTTTGCAGTTGGTATGAAAAAGAGAGACACCCTGTATGTAGAAGTGCTTGTTTAGCTCCTTTTATAAAATCAGTGCTTAATAAAGCACAAAAGGGGAGTTGTAACTGTTGTTCAAGAGGAATTTTAACAATCATTGTATACTTTCTTTTGTTTGTTGAGTTTAAACATTTTTGTTGGGGGGGGGGTATTGGGGATTGAACCCAGAGTTGCTTACCCGTGGAGCCACATCCCCAGCCCTTTTTATTTTTTATTTTGAGACAGAGTTTCACTGAGTTGTTAGGCCCTTGCTAATTTGCTGAGGCTGAACTTGAATTTGCATTCCTCCTGCCTACGGAGTTACTGGGATTATAGGAGTGCATTACCATGCCTGGATGTCATAGACATTTAAAAAAATATTTTTGGCCTTTTGACCTAGGTTTCCCACTTTTTATTAATTTCCAAAGAAATAAAACCGGAAGCTTTCATAAACTTACATTGCAGTTTGATTGGTGCTCACTCTCATTTCATGTTGCTCTGTGTCAAATAAGCAATTAGGGGAACATAGGCCCGATGACTGGGCTTTAGGTGGCCCTCAAACAGCAGAGGTCTGTAGCCCCCAGGTTCACCGTGGTTGTAGTCCACTTCCTGAACAACTGGGTTGACACTTGAACACCTGTGACCTGGAAAGGCCAAGAAGCTGGAGCTATTATTCGAGTCTGAATTGTAGCTTTTGAGAATTCAACTGTCAGCTCCTTTTGAATTCTTAATTTTGCATATTAGTCAAAGTAAAAGAACAGATTTATTAAAAAGTTTTATTTTCTCCTGATTAGAAGATTACATATGCTTCCACTCCTCCCCTGATTAGAAAGAAAAAGAAGAAATCTGGAAATGACCCACTCAATATTGATGTTTTAATGTGTTTCTTCTAGACTTTCTTTTATGTATAGATTTTTTTTTTTTTAGATCATTTAAAATTAGGTTTTTTATTTTTTTCATATAACACTGTAACTTGGATATATTCCCATGTTATTGATTCTTTGCAAATGTAGTTTTCAGATTTCATTGTGTATATTCATCATACTTTATTTTTGCATATTTCTTTCTTATTTTTTACTGTTATAAGTGATAATATAACATTGGTCCACTTTATGCTTTGAATATAACCCTTGCTGCTCTGCCACTGTGTCATTTTTCAAAGGACATGTTTTTTTTCTCTTCTCTCCTTGCTTCTCCCTCATCTCAGGGGAAACAGGATCACCTTCCTTCCCCATGCTAGGCAGAGGTATCTGTCCCTGAGCACACACCCACCGTAGGAACAAAGTCATGCATACTCTGGGGGTGGAACCAAAAGATCTCAGAAATGACTGTCTCCCAAATTAACAAGTGAATTACAACTGTGGACAGAGAACATGTGGAATGTAGCCTTTGGATTACCTCTTTAAAAATCCTCTGTTCCCCTTGATGGGCAAAATCTCAGCCTTTGGGACAGGAATCCTCTGTGTTTCTCCTTCCCTAGCAAAGCAATAAAATTTCTTTTTCTCAAAATGTGTCCTCATTATTAGATTGGTATTGGGGACAAGGACTGATGAATAACTTTGTAAATACCCTCCCTCCTCCATATTTTGGGATCTTCTGAGATTCAATTCAAGGAATGGAATTACTGGGATGAGTATGAACGTGTTTATGCTATACAGATGTACTCGATGTATGTATCAATCTGTTCATCTAGGGTTATATTTATTTACATTTCTCCCAGTATATTTCCTGGCTTCTGGGTGTTACCAAAAGCTTGGTCCTTATCCCTGATGCCAATCCAGTAACGAGGACCCAGTTTTGAGAAAAAGAAAAAGTTTTTATTGCTTTGCCAGCAAAGGAGAAACATAGAGGACTCCTGTCCCAGAGGCTGAGATCCAAAGGATTAGAGAGGGGGAGGGATTAGGGAGGAGCAGGTAGAGAAGAGAAAGAAATATGACCTTTTAAAAATAAGTCACAGTGGCAGAGCAGCAAGGGCTATGTATATCTCAGAATAAAGTGGACCACTGTTCCATGATTGCATGTCTGGCTATTCAAGAACAACTATGAAGAGTTGTGCCATTCACACAAGCTTGCCAGCCCTGAGTATCCCATTAAAACTGTCTTGCTTGATATCTGAGAACTTGTTTTAATTTGCTCTCTTTAATTATTGCTGGGTCATGGCTTTTTTTTTTTTTTTCATGTTTGTGATCACTAATGCAGTTTTTCAGGTGAACAGTGTATTAATGAAATAAAGGTGTTCTTGACAAACTCTTGGACTTTGCTGAAATTATAGCTTTTCAAAGTGACCTTGGAACTACCATGCTGACCTCTCCTTGTCGTCCTCTGGATTTAAGCCATCTTAACAGCTAGTGCTTAGATCCATCACTGCTTTTCAAGTGAAGCTGTGAAGCTACTGATTTTCTTCCTTTTTAAAATGACATTTTTTTTGTCATTATGAAAGTAACATGTTCACTTACCTCAGAACATTTGAAAATATAGAGAAATGAAGAAAAAATAAACTATACCTACTATATCTTCACCCCACTAAAGTTAGTTACTGTTAACATTTTGTGTTTTCTTTTGTTCAAAAATACTTCTTCTACACAAGTATAGGCTTTCTTTCATATCTGATCATAACATAAACATCCTCTGTTAGTCCAAAATCTTCATATTGTTTGTGCTTTGAAACCTGAATGTTGTCTATGTTAATCTTTCTCTTTTCCTTTTTCCCCCCAAGGCGAAAAAAGAACAGATTTCCTGGTGTGTTTAATGAGGCATGAAAATCAGCTCACCCCCTCTCTTCTTTTCCAGGGCTCTGAAGGCTCCCAGGCTGCTCTGACAGAAAAGGAAGCCCTCTTGGCTGAGCTGCGCTCAGAAAACCTTACTAAGAGTTCGGAGAACCACAGACTGCGGAGGAGCATTAAGAAGGTCACTCAGGAGCTCAGTGACCTGCAGCAGGAGAAGACGAGACTGGAGAGGGACCTGGAGGAAGCCCGCTGCGAGGGGAGCAGGGGAGCCCGCACCATCCAGGTGAGAGGCGCCCGGCCCCTGGTGGTGGATGGTGCGTTTGGCCTGCCTTGTGCTGCTGTTTGGGTTGTAGGGAGATATTCAGTGCAGAAAATAGAAAAATGGGAAAAAAATACAGAGAATACTTCACTCATCATCATCTCACCTAGAAACCACCAGTCTTAACTATCTGCTGTTGCAGTCCTTTTAGTTCTCTCTTTGCCTCTCACGATTGGTATCAAGGTGAGAATGCGGTCTGTAGGCCCTTTTTGATTCAGTGTTGGTTCTTTGCATGATTGTTCTTGAGAAACACAGTTTTTGTTTCAGCGTGGTTTTCCATGACTCGGAGGTGCCGCAGTGTGTTGAATAGTCCTTTAGTGTAGAGCCTTTAGGTCGTTTTACTTTTTTTGCCTTGTAACAAATGCCGCAGCAAACATCCTTCTACGTGAGTATTTACGTGAATAATATTCAGCCATTGATTATTTTTGATAAAGGTATAATTACTGGGTCAATCAGGGAATATTTTAAAGACTTTTATAGACTCAAATTGTCCTGGAACAAAGATTGTCCCAGGTTTCTCTGTGTCATCTTTTTAAAAGGCTGCATTCCATTCAGCATTGGGTATTAGCATCTAAAAATTCTCTGTCAATTTGGTAGGCTTATTAAATTTCAATTCTATCAAAATGTAAGTATTCAGCATCTTTTAATTTAATTCCTCCTGAGAGTCACAGCCAGACACCCAGCCTTGGTGCCATCAGACAGGACAGGGCCTGAGTCGGAGTGATCACTGACACTCAGGTTAATTAAATTACCTGCTCCAGAGCCAGGCAGTCGTTAGAGCACAGGGCTCTAAAGAGAGCGTTGGGTATCACTGGTTTGTTCTCTGGGGTTGCTTCTGGCAGGGCTGCCAGGATTAGGTGAAATCCTAATGTTAAGACTGAACAGAGAATTGAAGTACAAATGTTTGTGTATTTTAATAACATTTTTAATAACCATTAAGAGAGCAGTAATGGAAGTTTAGAGAAATAAGAAAATGTCAGCTACAACTTTACCACCTTAACAAAGCAATGCTGTTTCCAGTTTTCCCCTCCAGTGGGGATGCTCCTGGGCTCTGTCTAATCAGAGACTAAATCCTATACTGTGTTTTTGGAGCACTCGCTCTATCATAGGCAACTTCCTTCTGCGAGGCTCCACAGTGATCACGTGCAGCGGTGCGTACTCTTTCACTGATGGCTTTCATGTGATGACTTAATGATTTCCTCCTTTGTTGGATATTTCTGCTGTTTAAATAATGCCACAATGAATATCTTTGGGCATAAAATCATTTTTTTTTTCTTGAAATCCCTCAGGCAGATTCTGAAGAATGAGATTACTAAGTCATATGGTGCAAATCTTTATATTGGGTAATTATGCAGCCAGATATTAGTACAGAGGACTGGCTCAACTCAGGCTGCCACCAGCAGTAGTAGAGTATACCGGATTATTGCCTGCCATGAGCAGGCCAGTTTCCGAATTTGTCAGTGTTATTGAACATCAAATGCATCTGGTTTAGCTGCTGAGGGGAGGCCAGGGAAGCTTCTGAAGGTTTTACTTTTCTAAGGAAGATGAAATCTTATACATGACAAAGTGTAAAGCAGTTTACCATTGAGACTGAAGAATGAGATTACTAAGTAACTTACTGTATACTTGTGTAGAAGATCCTAGTGGCCTGGAGTAGCCAGAGAGACCTTCTGGGAGGAGATAACACATGAGTTGAGTGACGGGGTAAGACTGGAGTAGTGTGCCTTACGAATGAGGCAAAGAAAAGCCTGGCCAGAGGTCCTTTATGGAGTTGAAGTTTTCATGGTTCATTCCAATGTTCTTCACTGTTGGATTCTTATTTATTTATTTGGCTTAAAATAATCCCCTGCCCCTGTCATCATAAAAGTGCTTCTTTAGTAAAATTTGGATGGTGGGCAGGTGGGGAGATACATGCACACATGTAATTATACATTCATATATATACTATGTGCTTCTTTTTTTTACCTTATCATTTGGTCAGCATTTGAAATCTCTCTATAACATTGTTGGATCCATAATTCACTTATTCATAAAAACCCTGGTGCTTCTAAAAGAATTTTGCTCTGCTGCTGACATAAGATGCACTTCTGTATAATATGTGTACATTTTCATAAGGAGGTTAAAATATTTGGCAAGGACTGGGGGGCCAGGATTGTGCTAGGAAGGGGTTGGGCAAGTACACTCTGAGGGGGCTCCTTGGAAGCAGCAGGTACCTAGCTGACTGGCTTTGGTGAAAGGGAAATGCATTGTCTTGTGTAGTGAAGTTGCTGGAAGGGCGGACGTCTCTGAGAGATGGCTGCTTTTTCTTGCATTGGTTAACTCCAGGTCCAAGTAGTGGGACCCGTCGCTGCCAGCCCTGCTGGGATCACAGGACGGAGGATTCTCACACTCCACTACCCTGCGGTCTTCCTGTCAGGATGGCTAGACAGGTGAGGTACTGAGAAGCCTAGCGTGGGTCATATGCCATCGGCTTTGACCGGAGTGTGTGTGTGTGTGCACATGTGTACACCTTCATTGGCAGCCTCTCTAGAGCCACATATCTGGAGGCAGGCGAGAAGGCGCCTAGGAAGTAGTACTTGGTTGTAACACCCTGGGCCGAACAAAGCAACAGCTGTGCAGGCTGAGTGCTTCCCTCAGGTCCGCACTCCTGGGGCTCAGAGCTTCCTGGCTTCTCATCAGGTCCTACACATGTGTCTGACAGGATGATTTGGGAAGGTGTTCTTCATTTCGCATATATATATATTGCATCCCAATGGTATGTCTGCTTCACTTCTGGTTATAGTCTAAGAATTTCGCTGTGTCCATTTCATGAGAATGTTTTGCATCAGATTGTAGGGTGTAGATTATGGGGAGACTTGTTGGGGTGCCAGTTTTGCTTCCTGGTGAAGGATAGGCACAGGTGGAGCATAACCCTCTAGCCTTGCACATCTCATCAGCTGTTTCTGTTTACTAGGCTCTTTAATTAATTAACCTGAGTGCCTCCCACTTGCCAGCTGCTACTGGTGTTGCTTTTGGTTTGAAACAATGGGACAAAAACCCAGTCCTCTTAGTAGCCTCTCCTTCTTCCCTGGCAAAGCAAAGCGATCATTTATACATTTGGCAGCATTGGATCCATTGTACAGGCCCTCTCCTGGCTGTGGGCACGATTCTACAACAGAGATGGGGACACACTACCCTGGGAGCACGGAGAAAGGAAGTGGCTTATAGGACCAGAGAGGGTTTCTGAGGATTGTAACTTTGGAATTGGTCTGAAGTTTGAGCTGAAGGTCAACAAGTAGGTGCCGCTAAGGGGGATTTTGTACTGAAGGCAGAGGAACAGAATATGATTTGTTTGGAGAAGAGGAATTTGGGGCTGTAATGAAGGGCAGTGGCCTCTAGGGCCATGGCTGGAGATTATCTGGAGGAAAGTTGGCCTTCAGAGGGCCTGGGATAAAGAGTTTGGGAGCTTGGACCTGACCTCTAGATTGTGGAGCCCCGAGGAGGGGAATTAAGCAGAAGATTGACAGGATTAGATTTGCAGTTTAGAAGGACCTGTGGTCTGGATGGCCAGAGGATGGATTGATGAGGGACAGTTGGGAGATGAGAAAATGAGAAGATGGAACAGTTCTTTCCCTGACCTGTTAGCCAGGTCTGAGAGGCCAGAGCGCCGAGGAGGAGAGCAGGAACCTGGCCCTGCGCAGGCTGCGCAGCTGTGGCTCCTCGCGCTGGGGCACATTCACAGTTCCCCTGTGAGGACTCCCGTGCTCAGCTTTGGGTCTCCTGTGCTGACTGGAACTTTACCGCGTCCCACAGGCAGGCTGAGGAAAACACTGGTAAGAAGATGTCCAAAGCACAGTGTTGCTCTCAGTCCACAGTCAGCCCCGTTTTCAACACTTTCTTTAGTCAAGGAAACTGCTCTTCAGTGATGGAAGCGCAGCAGGCAAGATCTCTAGTTGTTGGTCGCACCTTGTAGTTTATAGCTGTTCTATTTTCTCATGTGGCCCACAACCTTGTTTTTGAGCCAGAGAATACTATTTCCATTTTAGAGATTCATCTGAGCCTCATAACTTCAGTGGCTTGACCATGGTTTATATATGTGACATGGACCCAGGTCTGTGGACTCTTCATTTCAGGAGTTTGCCTAAGATGTCATGTCATGGCAGTGGCGAGCCACCAGTTAAGAACCTGTGCTTTTGGAAGAAAGGAATTTTACATATTCAGCAGACCAGCAAATTATGCCCTTAAGAAAACCAACTTGATGTATTCTGATTATTTGGAGCCTTGAAAATTGTAATTTGTTCCTTTCTCTGTTTCAGAAACATTTGTGAAGGTTTACAGAAGGTTGTAAAATTCAATGGAATTAAAAATAAAGGACTCAGGGTCAAGGGAAAAACAGCTGCATGGCGAAACAGCAGCATGGAGCAAAGAGGGAACTTAAAATTCAGCTGGTATCTCCTGGCAGGGAGGGTAAAAAGGGAAATTCTGTCACAAGGTCGCCAGTGCCTGTAAGAAGACCATGTGAAGATGATTTCGCTGCCACTGGGGCCTGCAGGAGGAATCGCCTCTGCGCTCTTGTGAGGAGAACTGTGGTGTGCAGAGCCCTGCGCAGCCCCCATTCCAGCAGACAGCTCTGAACAGGGCTGGTCAGCTTCGCCCACGGCACCGAGCTTGTACACATTGAGGTTTCAGTTCCTGGGACTGATATAGCTGTTTATTTCCCGTTATCTCTTTCTTGGACAAGAGCTTCAAAATCAGTTGGAAATACTGCAGCCGGGTTTACAGATGAGGCCTGACTTCAGGTCTGAATAGAGGACCATATTGGGTGGTTCTAGTTTCTGTGAAAGTCCATAAATTCTTTTGGTTGTGATCAAACTATCCTTAGCTCACGCCAAAAGCATTTGTTGCCAGTCTCATTGTGCCAGGTCTTAGGCATTTTGGGGGAGACAGTGCTTTCGCTGGAAGCACAGTTTGGATGAGAGGCAGAT